GCAAGGTCAATCCTTGCCCTGTTTGCCTTGTTGTGGTTCCGCTCGATTGGGCAGCCGAGCTCCACCACAGCCGCTCTCTCACTCCCCCTCCTCAAAGAGGAATGGGGAGAAAATATGTGAAAAGGGCTCAAGGATTGAGATAAGGATGAGAAAATAACGCAATAATTGTTGTAACGGGCAGAACAGACTCAGCATAAGAAGATAGATAGTAAGATTTATTGCTCATTACTAACAAGCTAGAGAAGTGAGAAACAAAGGAAAGAAACCAAAAGCACCTCCCCCCCATCCACCCTCTTCCACCTCCTCCCCCCGAGCGGCGCACGGGAACGGGGGAATGGGGGTTATGGTCAGTCTACAGCACTTCTTCTCTGCCGCTCCTTCTCGGTCACTCTCGTCCCCTGTGCTGTGGGGTCCCACCCACGGGATGCAGTCCTTGATGAACTGATCCGGCGTGGGCTTCCCACAGGCAGCAGCTCTTCCAGAACTGCTCCAGATATGGGTCCATACCACGGGGTCCATCCCTCAGGAGCAAACTGCTCCAACCTGGCTCCTCCACGGGCAGTAGCTCCTGCCAGGTCACCTGCTCCTGCGTGGGCTCCTCTCCACGGGCTACAGGTCCGGCCTGGAATCTGCTCCGGCAGGGGTCTTCCACAGGCGGCAGCCTCCGTCGGTGCAGGTCTACCTGCTCCACTGTGGTCTCCTCCACGGGCTGCAGCGTGGAACCCAGCTCCACCGTGGTGCTCCATGGGCTGCAGGGGGACATCCTGCTTCACCATGGTCCTCACCACAGGCTGCAGGGGACTTCTGCTCCGGCGCCTGGAGCACCTCTCCCCCTCCTTCTACACTGACCTTGGTGCTGTTCCTCACTGCTTTCACTCTCCCAGCTGCTGTGTGGTGCAGCGTTTTTTTTTTCCCTGTCTTAAATACGCTCTCACAGAGGCGCAAAACAACATCGCTTATTGGCTCAGATCTGGAAAACAATGGGGCCCTTCCCAAACATGGGGCGGCTTCTAGATCTTTCTCACAGAAACCACCCCTATGGCTCCCTGCTACCAAAACCTTGCCAAGTAAACCCACTACACTTGTTTACTGCTGACTGTGGCACGAGTCAGACATACCAGCACCTCTCTGACTTGCAGCTGAAGACAAAGGACCTAGCTGTCCAGTTTACTAAAGTTGTTTAACTGTGCAGCCCTAACCTAGATCATCTGACCCTAAAATTCATGCATTTCCTCCTCAAAGCAACAACCTCAAGCCTGAGGCAGCAAGCACCACCCTAGCAGCTCCACTCCCAAATCCAACCGGGCATTCCTGGGTGGCTGTTCCCACTCTGCTCAGCTCATTGAAGCTCTACGCAGTATCACAGAATCACAGAATTTCTAGGTTGGAAGAGACCTCCAAGATCACCCAGTCCAAATTCTGACCTAACACTAACAAGTCCTCCACTAAACCATGTAACTAAGCTCTACATCTAAACATCTCTTAAAGACCTCCAGGGACGGTGACTCCACCACTTCCCTGGGCAGCCCATTCCAATGCCTCACAACCCTCTCGGTAAAGAAGTTCTTCCTAACATCCAACCTAAAACACCCCTGGTGCAACTTTAGCCTGTTCCCCCTTGTCCTCTCACCAGGCACGTGGGAGAACAGACCAACCCCCACCTCACTACAGCCTCCTTTAATGTATCGTAAAGAGTGATAAGGTCACCCCTGAGCCTCCTCTTCTCCAGGCTGAACAAACCCAGCTCCCTCAGACGCTCCTCGTAGGACTTGTTCTCCAGACCAGCTTCATCGCCCTTCTCTGGACTCGCTCGAGCACCTCCATGTCCTTCTTGTAGCGAGGGGCCCAAAACTGAACACAGTACTCGAGGTGCGGCCTCACCAGAGCCAAGTACAGGGGGACAATCACCTCCCTAGCCCTGCTGGTCACACTGTTTCTTATGCAAGACAGGATGCCGTTGGCCTTCTTGGCCACCTGAGCACACTGCTGGCTCATATTCAGCCGACTGTCCACCATCACTCCCAGGTCCTTCTCTGCCTGGCAGCTCTCCAACCACTCATCTCCCAGCCTGCTTGGGGTTATTGCGCCCCAGGTGCAGGACCCGGCACTTGGCCTTGTTGAACTTCATGCAGTTGACCTCAGCCCATCGGTGCAGCCCATCCAGATCCTCCTGCAGAGCCTTCCTACCCTCGAGCAGATCGACACACGCGCATAGCTTGGTGTCATCTGCAAACTTACTGAGGGTGCACTCGATCCCCTCATCCAGATCATCGATAAAGATATTAAAGAGGACCGGCCCCAGCACCGAGCCCTGGGGAACGCCACTAGTGACCGGCCTCCAGCTGGATTTGACTCCATTCACCACGACTCTTTGGGCCCGGCTATCCAGCCAGTTTTTAACCCAACGAAGCGTACACCAGTCCAAGCCACAAGCAGCCAGTTTCTTGAGAATGTTGTGGGAAACGGTGTCAAAAGCCTTACTGGAGTCAGTAGAAAGGCTTGGTGGGAGATGTGAGCAACGTTGCTGGAAAGCCTGATTGGACACAAATACTTGCCTCCACTGTCATGAGAACCTACCTCTTCACTAACCAGAAACTAGCCCTAGACAATGGGCTGTGGTTAGGCCTAGCCCCAGTTTGCTGTACAAGTTTGCTGAAAGCCATTGTGGAAGGTGATGAACCCAGACCAGCCAAGGCTCCAGCAGTGCAGGGATGATGCTCACATTGCATTAAACCAGACACCCAGCTGCTCAGGCCAGCAGGCCACCACAGCCTCACCACCACGAGACAGGACCAGGCACACATGTCCCATGTCACCAATGTTAATCTGTTCAAGGACCAGAGCAAGTGGCAGGCAGGCTGGCCATGATCCTCTACCTACAAGCGGAGAAGCCACCCTGAACATCTTCAGCAAAAATGCCCTGACAGACATTTCTTCATGCTCCCTCCTTCACCACTCAGCCCCATCTGTGAAGTCTGACACATCTGAAAAGCTCTTCTGTTCTATAATTGTGTCACTTCTATGCTTGCTGTTTTGATTTTGTTTGGAAATTTTTACTCCTCTGCCCACACATCCTCAACTCTTTACTGGCAGGTCTAGGTCAAGACTGTGGAGACATTTGCCACACTTTAGGATTTTACTCTGGCCACAGTTGTTTTTTCTTTTGCTTTCTTTCAATTTTGTATATATTTACTTATTTAACAGTGTTGTTTTATTTTATAAAGAAGCAGAGAGAGGCCACTGTACCTTTGAAAAGAAACAGAATAGAGCGCACACTTTGATAAAAAGCACAGTGTATCTGTGTAATACACATATGATGGGAACTGGGGAGCACAGCACCCCACTCCACACAGCCTAGGTCTAGATACCACCTCTCCCATCAACCCCACCTTTCAAACACTCACAAGGTGACCAAGGAAAGCTGCCAGTATCTACCAGGCTCCAAAAAATGAGGAAGGTGGTTTGACACCATATGCAGTCCCCAACAGCTCACTGGGTATGCACACGGGCCAGCTGGATCAGCCTAGCCATCCATGTGAAGTCTGCTGTGCGGGTGAAGACCTGCCTCAGGCTCATCAGCCATGGAGGGATGATGCAGGAACTGCCACGCGCGTGAAGTCAGGGGATGCTTTGATAGCAGAGCTGTCCCCCCAAGAGCACTTTTCCAACATGTTTCCCCATCCACCTGCCTTGTCTGACCAGATATTTTCCTTTCCTGGTCTTCCCCTACTGCTACCCACTTCTCTGCTCAGATCTCATCTCCTTCCTGTACTACAGTGACGCAGTTTAAAGATCACTCTGCCCCAGCCTCTGCTGTAACACAAGACCAACTTCATGCCAGCAAGATGACCATGAGACCACACGCATGCCTGGGTGCAACTTCCCAATTAAGCAGCAACACAGACTCTGCTCCCACCTATCTCCAGGGACTTCACGTCTTCCTACGAGACGCAGTGCTATTCCATGTCTTGCCCACCACATGGCTCTCCAGCCACTGCTGCTGTGTTGAACAGCTAGAAATTAAAGTTAAACATGCAGGCCCCAGATGCCTCAACAGCTTTTGCCAGGGATCTGACTGCCTGTGTTCAGGGCTGGGTCCAACAAGGTATAGTCTCAACTCCAAACCAGAGTCCCCACACTGTCATGGAGGTCATTGTCCTACCTGCCCCGACATCATGCTTGGCTGCCACTCTTCTTCCCCCTGCTGCTGACACCACACACCATGGCAACAACCCGCTGGTACAAAATGCAGTGCCATCATCCAGGCTGCCAGATGTCACCCCAACCACGATGCTGCAGGACACTGCTCTCTGCCCTGGGGATCCCACTGGCAACAGTCCTAAGCTCTCCATCAGCCATTTCCAGGGTGCTACAGGGAGGCAGCTGCCCTCCCAAACATGCCATGTTACGCAGCCCTTCCTGACATTACCAGGAAGACAAGCCAGCCTCACACAAGGAGTGTGACAGCCCACGGCTAGATCCAGTCAGTTTGGGAGATTTTCACAGGCACCACACCACATTCTGGTTTTAAGATAAAACCCTCTCTATTTTTGGCCTTCAGTTGTGCAAGTGGTGTGCTCATGAATCTGATGACACCCCAAACAGCCGACCTCAAACACCTTTGCTTCCTGCCAGCCTCAGCAGCATCTGTGGACGCCACAGACTAATGAAAAAGTAGAGGTTTCAGAGAGAACGTTTTTCCACGGGGACGAGCAAGCAGCTCACTGCAGTCACTCCAGGCTCTGCAGCCGCAGAACGCTCTGCCGGCCCCCCCCGTGCTGCGCCCCAGCCTCCCGCCAGCATCGCGGCGGCCGCAGCGCTGCCCCGAGGGCCGCACTGCCCGGCCCGCGGCAGCGGGAGGCGCCTCCGGGCCGAGTCCCCTCAGCAAAGGGCGGGGGCCTGCGGGGCCGGGCTGGCGGCAGGGGTCCCGCCGGGGCGAGGGCCCAGCCCCGCGCTCGGGGTGAGGCGAGGGGGCAGCGACCCCGCCCCGCGCCGCTCACCTTCCGCCTCCCAGCGCTCCAGCGCGGCGGGGCCGCTGCGGCGGGCGCCGCCCAGCAGCTCGGCGGGCAGCGGCTCCATCCGGCCGTCCAGGACTTCCAGCGGCCCCGGCTGGCGGGCGGAGGCCGCCGCGAGCCGACAGTGCTCGCCCAAGCCGGGCGGAAGCGCCGCCAGCAGCGCCCCGCGCTGCGCCGGGCCCAGCTGGGCCCAGAAGCGCAGCAGGTGGCCCTGCCCGGCCCGCGCCAGCTGCGCCCGCACCTCCTCGGGCGGCCCCATCCCGCCGCAGCCGCCCAGCCTCTGCCGGCCGGCGGCGGGGCGGAGCGGGGCCGGGCCTGCCCCTGTCCCGCCGCCGCTCCGCCCCGGGCGACTCTCGCTCCCGCCGCCCCGTCCTGCGCCCCGGCGGGGCTTACTCTCCGTTTTTTTTTCCCGTTTCCTCTGCCCTGCGAGGCTGGCTGCGTTCGGCCAGCAGCCCTTCCCAGCCCTCCTCAGGCCAGCGTTGCCCGGGCTCTGCAGGCGCCCGCCGGGCTAGAATACATTTCTGCAGTGCTTTGTGCGTACTGAAGTGCTTTGGCTGCTCAGATATATCTGATGGGGATACCAGAGGTGCTCGTGCTGGGAACTTCATATTTAAGAAACTCAGAAGGATTACATCCACTCGCGTCAGAAAACTCGTGGAGTTTTCAGCACAGCATGCAGCTGGGTGGGTCCTGTGCCATCCAGATGTGATGCTTGTCAGGGATCAGATTCCCCCTGCTCCCAAGTGCAGTGTCTGATCAGAGACTGAACCAGCAGTGAGGAAGTGCTGAGACAGAGAAACACAAAGAAAGCTGAGCCGGTCATGAGGTGTCAGATGACACACAGTGAGGTGTAGGTATGGATGCTTAGGGACATGGTTTAGTGGTAGACTTGGCACTGACAGGTTAACGGTTGGATTTGATGATCTCAGAGGTCTTTTCCAACCTAAATGATTCTGTGATTTTATGAGGTGGCTTCTTCTGCCATGCACAGTTGGGCCACGGGCTGCCAACAAAGAGGGCAACACAATGCCCTAAACTCCTGTCCTCAAAACCCCACTGCTCTCGCAGTTGGGCAACCTGGTCACAAACATCCTCTTGCAGCCATCAGCCTGTCTCTGTAGCTGGGCAGAACAAGACCAGAAGACATACAGACAGCTGTTTGGATGGACATGGCTACCTCCTTCTGTGTGGCTGGAGTTGGGGAGCTGGACCCCATCTGGATGAGACAACTAGGTTAGGAAGAAGCCCTGCTAGTTGTCATACCTTCTGCTTCACAGTCTGTTTTCCTACAATGTCTCAGTGGAGGACTCAACAGAACTACTATGTGGACATGGGCCTAGGGTTTTAAAAACTCCTAGCTCTGATCCCTGCTGCTCCCATTTACACAAATCTCTTCCTGCTGTGGTTGTATTCACTGTCTGTCTGGTATGTGAATGGGTGTAGTCTCTAGGTCCTTCCACACACGTGGTACGTGTGTAACCACTGACCCTTACAAACACATAGTTATCAGAAAAGGCTTTCTCAGATACAACTTTCGAATTCCACCCTGTGTTTTTTTCCTGCAGAACTTGGTGCAGCCCTTGCTGCAAAGGCTTGGAAAAACCCCAGCACACAGCCATGACGTACCAGTGTGGTGGTTTTACCGTACTGGGCAGCTAAACCCCACAACCGCTCTCTCACTCCCCCTCCTTTAGATGAGGAGGGGGAGAAGTAAAGCAAAGAACAACTCACAGGTTGAGATAAGGATAATTTAATTAAAGGGAAATAATTATGATAATTAAATAAAGACTAAACAATTTAACTAAGGGGAAATAAAAAGGGAAAGGGGAAAGGGAGGGGAAAAAAGGAAAATAAAAAGAAGGGAGGAAAACAAACAAACAAAATAAATGAAGGCTATATGGAAGTGCAGAGGAAAGAAATTACTCTCTACTTCCCACAAATGAGCGATGATTGACCACGTCCTTGAAGCAGGGCCTCAACGCACGCAGCCGGTGTTCGAGAGGAGGACCGACGTCTTCCAAACAAGAGCCCACCCCTCCCCTCTTCTTCCTGTTTCCACCTTTTCTTGCTGAGTGTGACATCACATGGTATGGAATATCCCTTTGATTGGTTTAGGCCAGCTGCCCTAGTGATGTTTCTCTCCTCACCTTTTGCCCACCCCCTAGGAGGGTTAGAGAAAGGCCTAATACTGTGCCACTGCTGCTCAGCAGTAGACACAACACTGGTGTGATAACACTGCTGTTCCAGCTACAAGTACAGAGTACGGCACTGTATGGGCTGCTGCCGGGAAAGTTAACATTCCAGCCAGACCCAGTACAAGCAGACAGGACAACCTGAGAAAGCAGGATGTAGGTAAGACTGGGCCAAACAAAATGCAAACATGCACAAGGAACAGGAAATTCATCGTCAAAAAAAGCTCCAGCAACCCTAAAGAAGAGAGAAGTCTTCTGCTTCACAATACTTCATGTGATAGCAGCAGTGGGTTAGGATAGGGTATCTTACTGGAAAGCTTCTTACAGAATTCTAATTTTTAGGACTTTGTTTCAATAGGTAAGCATCCACAAATGTGTCCTCCAAAAAAAAAAAAAATGTGACAGACCATGCAGGAACATCTTAGCTGCCAGCCCAGGCCCTGGTTCCCAAACTAGCCATAGTAGGAGCCAGTGTAAATACAAATTCTTGCTCTGCTGACCTAGGCATGTTACAGACTAAGAAGATACACTCCTCTGCCCCCCAGCTGCTTGTTTTAGCTCACCACCCACTGTCTCTCAGCCGTTGTGACAGCCTGAGAGCTGCCAGCCAGCGGCCAGACTTCCTGCTCACAGGGCCTCCAAGGGAAAAAACAGTCTGATGGAAAGAAAAGCAACTTAATGGGAAGTACCTGCCCCCCTCCAAAGCAAACAAACCATGTCCTCAAAGAGGTCCAGTAAGCAGGAAGATTGAAATGATGGCATCTCAGCACTGGTAAGAGCAGTAAGAGCAAAGAAGACAACCCTCCCCTCAAGGAAAGCTTGCTGCTGCCCTGAGACTGCACACCTCCTGCCACCTCACACTCCTGCCCAGAGGTTTGCAAGGGATGGATGAGCTGCTGGCTTGATATCTTGGTACCATACTGGGAGCAATTCCCTGCAACCTCTTAGCTTTGGGTCTAAGAGAAGGGATAAGCACAAATAGTGCTTAATTAATTAACAACAGAGAGAACCAGAACTTGACATCTAGACTGCTGTTAGCACAATTCCTGGTGTGGCTTTAACTGAGGGCCAGCTAACAGTTCCAGGGTATTGTTCTGGAAATCCACTCTGGATGTGGCACTATTTCTTGATAGACGCTGTAAGACAACGCAATGAGACCTTCTTGCTCCAGCTACAAGAAGCATCATGCTCACATGCTCTCATCCTCTTGGGGGATTTCAGCCATCCGGATGTTTGCTGGGAAAGCTACACAGCAGGTAGTAAGCAATCTAGGAGATTCCTGGAATGCGTTGAGGACAATTTCCTCGTCCTGGTTTTAGACAAACCAACCAGAGAAGTGTTACTGGACCTGGTGCTCACCAATGCAGAAGAGCTCATTAAAGAGGTTAAGACTGGAGAAAGCCTGAGTTGCAGTGACCATGCTCTGTTTGAGTTTGTGATCTCGAGGGGTATGGGCCTGGCTAAGAGCATATTCAGGACCCTGAACTTCAGAGGAGCCAACTTCCAGCTGTTCAAACAATTAGTGGATGAGATCCCACGGGACACTGTCCTTAGGGACAGAGGATCCCATCAGAGCTGGCAACTCTATGAATATTTATCTTACAGTGCAAGAGCTCTCTATCCCCATATGTAATAAATCAACCAGGGAAGGTAGAAAACCAGCATGGCTGAACAAGGATCAGCTGATAAAACTTAGGCAAAAGAAGGAAATGCACAGACAGTGGAAACAGGGCCACGTGCCCTGGGAAGAGTACAGAGACACTGTCCAGATATGCAGGGATGGGATCAAGAAAGCCAAGGCACTGACAGAATGAAATTTGGTGAGGGATGCAAAGAATAACAAGAAGGGGTTCCACAGATACATTGGCCTCAAAAGAAAGACTAAGGAGAGTGTACCACCTCTGACAAATGAAGACAGATGTGGAGAAGGCTGAGGTACTGAACAACTTCTTTGCTTCAGTCTTCACTGGTGGTCAGGCTTCCCACATTTCTTGTGTCCCTCAACCCTCTAGGCAGGGACTGGGGGAGCAGAGTCCCTCCCACTGTAAGTAAAGAACAAGTTCAGAACTGCCTGATGCAACTTAACAACTGCAGGTGTATGGGGCCTGATGACATGCATCCCAGGGTCTTGAAGAAATTAGCTGATGTAGTCACCAAGCCACTCTCCATCATATTTGAAACATCATGGCAGTCAGGTGAAGTCCCTGGTGACTGGAAAAAGGGAAACATCACCCACATTTTTAAAAAGGGTAGAAAGGTGGAACCAGGTATCTACAGACTCACCTCTGTGTCTGGGAAGACCATGGAATGGATCCTCCTGGAGACAAAGTTAAGGCACATGCAAGACAAGGAGGTGAACTGAGACAGCCAGCGTGGCTTCACCAACGGTAAATCATGCCTGAGCAATCTGGTGGCCTTCTGTGATGGAGTAACTGCATTAGTCGACAAGTGAAGTCTGACCAATGTCACCTACTTGGCCTTCTGTAAGGCTTTTGGCATGGTCCCACATGACATCCTAATCTCTAAATTGGAAAGGTATGGATTTGAAGGGCAGACCATTCAGTGGATAAGGAATTGGCTCAATGATTGCACCTAGAGAATGGTGGTCAATGGCTCAATGTCCAAGTGGAGGCTGGTGAGGAGCAATGACCCTCAGGGATCTGTCCTGGGACTGATGCTTTTTGATATTTTCAAAAATGACATAGACGATGGAACTGAGATCACCCTCACCAAGTTTGCAGATGACACCAAGCTGAGTGGTGCAGTTGATACCAAAGAAGGAAGAGATGCCATCCAAGGGGACCTGGACAAGCTAGAGAATTGGGCCCATGTGAACCTAATGAAGTTCAACAAGTCCAAGTGCAAGCTGCTGCACCTTGGACAGGGCAATCCCAGACATGAGTACAGACTGGGAGAAGAACTCATTGAGAGCAGCACTGTGGAGAGAGACTTGGGGGTTCTAGTGGATGAAAGGCTTAACACAATGCATCAGTGCATGCTTGCAGCCCAGAAGGCCAACCGTGTCCTGGGCTGCATCAAAAGCAGCTTGACCAGCAGGTCGAGGGAGGTGATTGTCCCCCTCTGCTCTGCCCTCATGAGGTCTCACCTGGAGTACTACATCTTGTGCTGGGGGAAAACACAGGAAAGCTGTGGACCTGTTAGAGTGAGTCCAGAGGTGAGCCACAAAGATGATCAGAAGGCTGGAGCACCTCTCCAATAAAGGAAAGGCTCAGGGAGCTGGGGATGTTCAGCCTGAAGAAGAGAAGACACAAGGGAGGCCTCATTGTGGTCACTTTCAGTACTTAAGGGGTCTTATAAAAAGGACGGAGAGAGACTCTTTACTCAGGTAGATAATGATAGGACAAGGGGGAATTGTCTTAAACTAGAAGATGATACATTTAGATTAGATATTAGGAAGAAATTCTTCCCTGTATGGGTAGTGAGGCACTGGAACTGGTTGCCCAGAGAAGTTGTGGATGCCCCATCCCTGGAGGTGTTCAAGTCCAGGATAGGGCCTTGGGTAACCTGGTCTAGTGGGTGGCATCTCTGCCTATGGCTGGGGGGTTGGAACCAGATGATCTTAAAGGTCCCTCCCAACTCAAGGAATTCTGTGATTCTATGATAGAGGCCAGCTGGTCTGGGTGGCAGGTAATAGCACATACAGCCCACAGACACACCATTGGCTCCCCCAGACCTTGTTCTCCCCCACAAGAAGGAAGCAGTGGGGCTCACAGCATGTCCCTGAACCTTTGATCAGGAGACAGCCTCATATGGCAGCAAGCACCATGTCTCAGCAGAGTTAAGATTCACACATGTACATGAACATCAATGAAATCTGCATGGTGCTTAATCTGCTGCCACTGTCACACAGCATCATCTATGCATGTGCTGTCAGTGTCGCATGAGAATATGTCCGTCTCCACCAAAATCAACTTGTTAACCCCATTGATGAGGCTGCTGTGACCTTTTCACCCAGGGGAGGCAGTGTTGATTTGTGGGACATGCTGGTCTGCTACCTGCCTCCGGGGGGATATCAGATGCCCTGTGCCCTTCCCAGAGAGGAGCAGTGGTGCATTTGGATGCCACCACACGAGAGCCAGTGCAAGTGTCACTGCATTCCCAGCTGCCAGCACCTGAGGGACAGCACAAAGGAAGGGTTGGGACTGTTTTGAATGGCAGGTGGTGCTTTCCAGAAGCTTGGAGGAAGGAGAACTGAATAACTAATTTATGTTAAATACAAATAAATAAATAAAAAACAAACAAACAAACAAAAAACTCTACTAGTGAAAAGAACTTGCCTGGCCCTAAAATAAAGTATTCAGTTTTCAAAATCTCCTATTCACCCTACCACTCTAAGGAGGTCTGTTTGATGACAATCCCTTCAGACCACTTTGATACAGAAAACATAGTAAAAGTGGAACTGCAATGGCCCCAGCTTCTTGTTGCCAGAATAGAAATTTCCACATGGAGGAGTGAGAGTATTTCACTTGAATCAGTATATACAGTTAACACCAATAATTGTTTTTGGTATCTGCAGATTGCTTTCCTAGTAACATAGACCTGCCTGGCAGGGAAATTGGACAAGAGACATTAAGGTAATTTTAAATTCCCACTATTATTCCTTGCTGTTCCAGCAAACCCAGAGATGTGGGAGGAATCTAGGGAAAATTATTTTCCTACAGAGCAGCCTTTGTTGAACATAACAGCCCCCATGCTGATGCCACAGTTTGGACCATTTTGAAACGTCCTATCTTTGTGGCACAGTATGAGTCTTTAAGCTCTACAGGGGCATGCAGCCTCCTTACCTCCTGCTGTTACCAGAGCTGAGCAGTATAACATTCACTGCTCTGCCTCTGAAGCAGAAAGGATAGGAATAATGTACTAGTTACTTCTTCCTGTATCCTACGGAGGTGTGACTGTGTTCAGTCAAATGTGGCCAAGCCAGGCAGAGATCTCAAAACAGGTAGGGAGGCCAAAAAAAAAGTTATGAAAATAAATGGTTTAAAGAAGAGCAGGCTGTGAAAAGCCTGGCCATAGCCCAGAGACCAGTCACAGCAGGTTCCTGATAGAGAAAAGACCAGTGATGGTCTCCAGAGGCTGCTGCAATTTACCTGGCAGCCTGAGCCTCAAGTGAGTGACAAACTCCATTTAGAAGAGGAAAGGCAAGAATGGGCTGAGAAGCCAGGCATGGAACAAAGCTGTTGAAGGCACTGGGGGACTTGACAGAGAAGCTGACAGTCGGGAGAGCAGCAAAGGCCACATCAATAGGAGAAAATGAGGGCCAAGCCTCTACCCCCTTCTCCCTTTCAAGCCAAGTCAGAGCTAAAGGAAATTGCCCCAACAGATGGCACAGGGAGATGTCCACAGACAACCTCACAGGGAATTAGCAACTGGACAGTGTCTAATTCTCTTCTCTGTGTGCTGAGGCAATTCTGGCTGAAGGGACGTGATGAGGATGAATATGTGCTGTCTAGGTTCTCGCAGGTACTGGTGTCCCACTTACACCTAGCAGTGCTGTCTGTGCTGCCAACAAAACAGAGCAGCCACTTGCTTGAGCACCCACATGTGCTTTTGTGCCTGCACAAGCCTGGCCATCACCCTTCTCCAGCACACTAACTGCCTGACTCCCTTAGTTCAGTGCCATGAGCATCATATCAGGACAAATTCCTTTCAGGTGCCTCCCCAGAGCTGAGCCACTTGCGGTTCCTGGGACATGGGAATAGTGACACCAGAATGACACCTGTGCTTTGTAGTCTGCCTTGTTGCAATGAACCCGACAGAAGAAGCTTGCAGAGAAAGGCAGTATCTTTTACTAGGCAGTATCTTTTGCACTGTTAAATCTAATAGACAGTTCAAATTTCAGGCTAAATTATAGAAACACTTTATCTTAAAATTGCTGGTTCATAAAAATTCTGTAAGAAAGATAGAAGTAAAATCCAGCTGGCGATCAGCCACCAGTGGTGTTCCCTGGAGGTCAGTGTTGGGGTGCATCCTCTTTAATATCTTTATTGATAATTTGGACGAGGGAATTGAGTGCACCCTCAGTAAGTTTGCAGATGACACCAAGTTGGGGGGAAGTGTTGATCTGCTGGAGGGTAGGAAGGCCCTGCACAAGGACCTGGACAGAATAGGTCGGCGGGATGAGGTTGAACATGGCTAAGTGCCAGGTCCTGCACTTTGGCCACAACAACCCCATGCAGCACTACAGGCTTGGGGGAAAGTGACTGGAAAGCTGTGCAGAGAAAAAGGATCTGGGGGTGATGATTGATGCTCGCCTGACCATGAGCCGGCAGCATGCCCAGGTGGCCAAGGAGGCCACAAGAGCATCCTGGCTTGTATCATGAACAGCACAGCCAGCAGGACCAAGGAGGTGATCGTCCCCTTGCATTCTGCTCTGGTGAGGCTGCACCTCAAGTACTGTGTTCAGTTTTGGGCCCCTCATGACAAGAAGGCCATCGAGGCCCTGGAGTGTGTCCAGAGAAGGGTTACAAAGCTGGTGAAGGGCCTGCAACACAAGTCCAGGACACAAGGAGCAGCTGAGGGAACTGGGGCTGTTTAGTCTGGAGAAGAGGAGGCTCAAGGGAGGCCTTATTGCTCTCTACAACTACCTGAAAGGGAGGTGTGGGGAGCTGGGGGTTCGCCTCTTCTCACAGGTAACCAGTGATAGGACTAGAGGGAATGGCCTCAAGTTGCACCAAAGGAGGTTCAGGTTGGAATTTAGGGGACATTTCTCTGCAATAGTGAGAGTCATGTCACAGTTGGGACTTTTTGATCCTGTTCACTAACCAGATTTGCTCTAGAGATGCTAGAAATGCTAGGTCTTCAGGTATCTCTGCTTCAAAAAGTACATGCTTCCCTTTACAAGGTTATGGTGCCTTTGGTGCAGAAGAGGCAGGGCTTTCAGGGGGGTGAAGAAGACTCCCAGAAAAAAATGTTCCCCCACCTACCTTACTAAGGCTCTTACATCCCAGGCTCTGTACCTGTTGAAAAACGTGTGCAACAAAATTTGGGAAAGGTGCAAAGTCCAGCTCAGTGATATGGCCATCCTGTCCAGCATCTGAAGTTTGTGAAGCGGAAAAAGCTGTTGAGTTTGAGCACAGGTAGCAGACTCCTAGTTCTGCTGGCAAGTAAGCAGATTTACGACCGGAGAAACAGCAGGTGAGGCAGTGCTGTGAGCAAACAGGATTTGCGCCTGACGAAGCACCAGCACCAGCCTGGCTTTCCGCGGGCCTCCCCCTGCTGGGAAACAGCTGCGGGCAAAGGCCACCAGGTTACAGGCGGCACCCCGCGCCCTGCGGCTGCCGGCGGGAGGCGCCTTCCCGTCCCCGCGACCGGAGCCGGCGGGATCCCGAGCGGCCGGGATGAGCCCTGCGGGCTCGGGGGCGACCGAGGCCGCTCGCTGCGCGGAGGGGCCCGGCGGGGGCCGCTCCCCAAGCCGGGGGGGAACGGGGCGGGGGCGGCGGAGCCCCCCGGGACGCGGGCGAGCGGGGAGGGGGCGGCTCGCGCCGCGCCGCAACTCAAACCAGCGGCCACGCCCGCAGCCAATGGGCCCGCGGGGCTGCCCGCCGCCAGCCAATGGGAGCTCGGGGCTGCCCGCCGCCAGCCAATGGGAGCGCGGGGCCGGGGCGGGGCCGGTAGCCCAGCGCGGCGAGGTGCCCTCGGGGCGGCGGCCGCGGCGATGGCTCCGGAGCGCGGGGCCCGGCCGCCCCCCGCCGGGCCGCCCCCCGCCGGCACCGAGGGGCTGCCCAGGGCCTTCCTGCAGAGCCTGCGCACCCTGTTCGACATCCTGGACGACCGGCGGCGGGGGTACGTGCACCTCCGGGAGATCGAGTCCCGCTGGCAGGGGGCGGAGGCTCGCGAGCTGCCCGCCGGTGTGCTGGAGGGGCTGCGGCGGGCGGCGCCGGCCAGCGGCTACCTCACCTTCGAGCGCTTCGTCCTGGGGCTGCGCGCCGCGCTGCCCGGCGCCGACGGTGGGCCCCCGGTGAAGGGACGAGCCCCGGGGCGCGGCGGCGGCGAGCCGCGGGCGGCGGAGAAGGAGAAGGAGAAGGAGAGGGAGAGGGAGAGGGGCCGCGGCACCGCCGTCAGCGCCTCGCGGAGCCTGGAGAAGCTGCCGAGCCCCTGCGGCGCCGAGGAGCGGCGGGGGCAGAACGCGGGACACCGGGAGCCGGAGCCGAGCCAGCCCCGGGCGCGAGGTGAGAGGCGCCCCGGCATCCCCGGGCCGGCTGCGGCTCGAGGGGAGACTGCGGGTGCGGGTCCCTTCACCAGGCCGGAACGGGCCCGCTCTGCGTGCTGAAGGTGTCTGGCCGTGTGCGGGCATCGCAGCAGAGCTGGCAGCGTTGCGAGTGATCCAGCGGCACCGTTGCCGGAGAGTCGAGTTAGGCAGGGCAGGCTGGGATCCACACCCATGGCTAGGTCTGGTTCTCAGGCAGCACAGACCTGTTCTTTCTTTTTCATTTAAAGCAACAGTAAATTCTTCCCCCAGGCCAGATGCAGAACTCTGAGAAGTCGCTGATATTTTTTATTTTGTCTTCAGTGGGCTTTGATTCAAGTTCTAGATAAACCGGAATGGAGAGCGCACAGTTTGCAAATCCTGCTCTGTCTCGGGCTTGTTCTTCCCTTTACATTTCTCCTCGTGTGGGCGCTTGTCTGTTTATAGTGGTGACAAGAAGAATTAAGGGCTTTACAGTAACATGTCCGTAGTTGTCCTCTGGCACAAAGTCTGTAGGTGACCTTCCTTGTGGGGTGGATCATGAAGCTGATCATCTCTGAGAGTTGCTGGGCATTGGGATGGGGAAGCAAACTCCTGAGAGCCAAGCAGCTTTGCTTGAGTACCAGCCGCAGCTGTGTAGTCAGAGTTAATGCTGTGAGTGTGCATTATCAGAAGGGGTTGCTCCATGATTTCAGGCACATTTTGAATAGTGAAAAAGAGTGAAATCTGATTCAACTGTTTTGTTAATTACGTGGCACAATTTACAGCAATAAATGAATGGGAAAGCAGCAGTAGGGAGATGTGCTTCAGTGTCCCCAAGCACTGTCCAGGCAGTCAGGACAGGGAATGCCCCGTAGCCACTGGCAGAGCTTTGGCTGCAGAGCCCAGCAGCAGGTCGCTTCCTCAGGACCTGGGGTCCCTGTGCTGGATCTGCCAGGGTTCTCCTGATCCTGGGCCAGTGAGCTGTTAGAGGGCTTTGTGCTGTCTCACATGGCTTTGTCCTAGGGTTGCAGTCTGGCATTGCACCTAAAGTGGGGCATCCACCTACTGCTGCAGGAAACATGGCTCTGACCCCCATCCCAGCGTTCTCCATCCTTTGCTTGTCTTAGATGCAGTGACTGGGAAGTTCATGGAGTGAGGTGATTCAGCCAACTGAATGGGTGTAAAATACATTATTTTTATACTTTTGTGTGCTTATATGTGTTCTTTGGCATGATCATTCAGTTTGATGGGCTGGTGAGAATTTTGGGCTGACAAAGGCAGGAGAGGGAGAGCACCACTTCTGGCACCCATCTGCACATTTACCAGTCACGGTGCAGCATGCTGAGTTTGGCAAGGGGGAGACTTGTTCACTAATGTCTAGATTTGCTGCTAATAAATAGGAAGTGTTATAAGGAATACAGGACTTGTTACCTATTCCAGTGAAGTGTGTTGAGATCTACTGAAACAGAGCTCTGTGTGAGAACTTGGTGTTTGTTATTGCAACACTTGAGCAGGACGACTTCCTTTACCTTGGGAAAGTTGTCTGAGCTAGTTTGCCTTCTGTTCCCCACCCTTTCCTTTTAAACATTGCAGAGATTGTCTGCTTCTCATTTTGCCTCCAGACTAATCACTAGAACTTACTTGGTGGAATGTTATTAAAGTGGCTGGTTGTTTTATCGTCAAGAATGTAAATCCAGAAAAAATTGAAAAAAAAATCCTGCTTGATAAATAATCATCAAATTGAAAGCTCTCTACTAGATGGGACTGAGCAGATGACTACTGCAGAATATAACTTTCTGGTTGCTGAGGATCTTTCCATTATGGTATGGTATACTGATGTCCTGAGCCTGCAGGCAGGTTTAGTGCCTCAGCCCTTGCTGCCAGCTTCCCCAAAAGCAGGGCTATATTCTGGCAACAGGCTTAAATTTTAGACTAATTCAGCAACTTAGTGAAAGTTATAACTCAGTTACCATATGTCTTTTAACTCTGGATCCTGCACACCTGCTCAGTGATACCCTCCACTGCAGAGGGCTTTCCTAAGCATGTGATTGTACTGGTGCATATTCCCTTCAAAGGGATGTGAAAGATTCAAGCGTCAATGAGGCAAGACTTGGCTCTTTTCTCACTGAGGAGAAATGTTGGTCCAGTAAGGCCTGTCTCAATTAGATTACATCATTTGGGCTTAAGGTTATTCTTAGCCTCCAGTCACATGATGTACCTTTTGTAAGAACTCTAGCTGAGAGTGGGGAGATGGTGTATCAGTACTTGTAATCATCAAAGTGTTTGAGGGCGCTCTCCCTGTCTTGTGTTCCTGAGGAAAGGAGGTACTGACAGGATGATACCCAAGCTCTACTTCCTGGCCCAGGGTGGATCCGCGTGTGACAGAGGTAATTTAAGTATGAATTATGGCAAGATGGCAGAGGCTGAGGGCTAGGATCTTCCTGGCACTTTCAGGTGGTGCAGTGAGCCAGTGGGACAGAATTCAAGTCCCTGTTCCACCTTCATCACTGACTTCTGTTAGCATGGGCAGAGACATGATAGCATGGGCTTCTGAAGACATTCCTGCTCAAAGTCATCTTCAAGGTTCTCAGAAGTTCGTGTCAGCCAGGCGATGCTGGAGCAGCCTGCACATCATAAGCAGTTGCTTCGTTGCCAGCCACAGTGTCCAGGAGCCCACTGATATGCCTGGCACGAGGATCACAGAATCGCAGAATTGTAGGGGTTGGAAAGGACCTCAGAAGATCATTGGGTCCAACCCCCCTGCCAAAGCAGGTTCCTTAGAGCAGGTTGCCCAGGTAGGCATCCAGACGGGCCTTGAATATCTCCAGGGAAGGAGACTCCACAACCTCCCTGGGCAGCCTGTTCCAGTGCTCCGTCACCCTCACCGTGAAGAAGTTCTTTCGCATGTTGGTGCGGAACTTCCTGTGCTGTATCTTGTGGCCATTACCCCTTGTCCTGTCCCCACAAACTGCTGAAAAGAGGTTGGCCAAATCCCTCTGTCTCCCACGCCTCAGGTATTTATACACACTGATGAGATCCCCTCTCAGTCTTCTTTTCTCAAGGCTGAACAGACCCAGGTCTCTCAGCCTTTCCTCATAAGGAAGATGTTCCAGCCCCCCTATTATCTTTGTGGCCCTCTGCTGGACTCTTTCCAGGAGGTCCCTGTATTTTTTCTGTCTTTTTTGTACCGGGGAGCCCAGAACTGGACACAGTACTCCAGGTGAGACCTGACCAGGGCAGAGTAGAGGGGGAGGATTTTCTCCCTTGACCTGCTGGCCACGCTCCCTTTAATGCATGCCAGGATCCCCTTGGCCTTCTTGGCCATAAGGGCACACTGCTGGCTCACGGTCAACCTTTTGTCCACCAGGATCCCCAGGTCCTTCTCTGCAGAGCTCCTCTCCAGCAGGTCATCTCCCCGGCCCCTACTGATCCATGCGGTTGTTCCTTTCCAGGTGCAGGACTCTACACTTGCTCTTGGTAAACTTCATTTGGTTTCTTCCTGCCCAGCTCTCCAGGCTGTCCAGGTCTTGCTGAATGGCAGCACAGCCTTCTGGTGTGTCAGCTACTCCTCCCGGCTTCGTATCGTTGGCGTACTTGCTGAGGGTGGACATTATTCTCTCATCAAGGTCGTCAATGAAGATGTTGAACAAGACCGGACCCAGCACTGACTCCTGGGGAACACCGCTTCACACAGGTCTCCAGCTGGACTCTGCGCCACCAATCATCACCCTCTGAGTTCGGCCAGTCAGCCAGTTCTCAACCCACCTTACTGTCCACTCCTCTATCCCACATTTTTGCAGCTTTGCTAGCAGGATGTCATGGGAGACAGTATCAAAAGCTGTGCTAAAGTCAAGGTAGATGACATCCACTGCTCTCCCCCCACCTACTCAGCTGGTGATGCCATCATAGAAGGCAACGAGGTTGGTCGAGGACAACTTCCCCTTGGTGAATCCATGCTGACTACTCGTCATAACCTTCCTTCTCTTACAGTTGCTTGAAGATGGCATCCAGAACACGCTGTTCCAACACCTTTCCAGGGACAGAGGTGAGACTGACTGGCCTGTAGTTTCCCGGATCCTCCTTGCCCTTCTTGAAGACCGGAGTGACGTTGGCTATCCTCCAATCTTCAGGCACCTCTCCTGTTCTCCAGGACCTTTCAAAGGTGATAGAGAGCGGTTCAGCAATCACCTCTGCCAACTCCCTTAGCATACGTGGATGCATTCCATCAGGACCCATGGATTTGTGTGCTCTGTCACTTCTAGCTCCCCTCCCTTCCCTCGTCAAACCTAGTTTAAAGGCCTGGTAATCAGCTCTGAGAGCTTGCTCCCCAACACACTTGAGCCCCACTTGTCGAGTTGAATTCAGTCAGCAGCCCACATACCTGGCTTCTCAAAGGGCTGCCCGAGATCGAAATACCCAAATCCTTAGTCCAGACACCACCCCCTCAGCCGTCCCGTTCTCCTTCTTTCTGGGTCCTGGTCACCCAAAGGGAGGACAGAGAAGAACACTACCTGCACCTCTGATCCCTTCAACAATCTTCCCAGGGTTGCAAAATCCTTTTTAATATTTTTATAGTTGCAGCTTCCTGGGATCCTACCTGAATGACAACAAGAGGATAGTAATCCTTCGGTTTAATGAGCTGTGGCAGGACCTTCCTAACGTCTCTGACACGTACCCCAGGAAGACAGCACACCTCTCTGGATAGGTTATCTGGGTGGCAAATAGCAGCCTCAGTGCCTCTCAGCAAGGAGTTTCCAATCACTAAGACTCTACATGCTATTTTTGTGGCATGGGTTGTGATGCAGTTCTCTGCCCGGCCCCAATCCCTATGCTCAGTACTTCCCCCAATCTTGACACACTTTGCAGGGTTGCTTCCCAGGTTCGTACTACTGTCCAGACCCTCAACCTCATCATGTTCCTGCCTGAGAAGGGAGTCGCCAACAACAACTACCCTTCTGTCTTTCTTGGTGGAGGCAGTTTTGAGGCGTGGAGTCAATTTCCTCGCCCTAGGCATCCTCCTGGGTACACTTTCTACCTCATCCTCACCCACCGGTCTCTCAAGCTCCAGGGCCTCAAACCTGTTGCGTAAGGGCACCTGGGAAGGTGGGGCCAGTAGGACGGGGGTGTTGCACGTGAGGTTGAGCAGGGACATGTTTCCATTCCTCTTCAACTCCCAGGTCCCCTCCCTCTGCCCGACTGCTACAGGGCAGGGGGTCCACCCCCATTTGGGGTGTCCCACCCCAGTACCTTTCCTTCAGGCCCTGCAGGGAGTTGCCCCACCAGTCTGTCTCCCTCTCACACTCCCTGGTGGCCCTCAACCTCTCCATCTCCTCCTTGAGCTCTGCCATCAGGCGGACCAGGTCATCCACCTGCTCACACCTTACATGCACAGTATATCTGCCTCCCTCAGAGGGCAGCAACAGGCTCAGGCACTCCCTGCATCCAGAGATCTGAACTGCTGCATTTTTGAGCAGGCAGTCAGTCAGAGTGGTTGCAGACTTTCTAGAGAGAGCTCTCTGCCTAGTGTAGACCATTGCGGCCTAGCTAGTGGCAAACAGCCATTAGATGAGTTGTTCTTATGGGCGGGGGGGAATGCTCTGCCCTGCCTGAGCCCACCCTGCCCACACGCACTGCTGTGCAAACTGCCGCCGAGGATGGTGAGGCTGATGTTGGAGATGTCACTGTGCACAGAAGGCACCATGACAGCTCCTTGCTGCTGGTTCTTAGGTTGTCTGCTGCAGCAGGTGTCTCAGCATTAGGGGTCTTTACCATTGTGGTTCCCTATGGAAAAGCTTTCATCCCTGCTGAGAGCCAAGGAATTATGATATGGGGTGGTAAGTGCCTTGCCCAAGGGGTCTGCAGTGTCTATGGGCACTGCCTCCTACCAGCGCAGCCTTTGTGGCTAGGGTGGCCTGGCTCAGGTGGCCTGGGAGGGAGGAGGCAGGACCTCTCCTGCACCTTAGAAAGGCTGATCCTTACTCATAACCAGAGGTTCTGTTTTAGTCACTATGTTGTTAGCTCAGGTGCACAGAGCTCATTTGTTTGACTGGTGAACACATTCTTGTCGAAGTTTCAGCTCAGATCAGCCTGTGGGCTCCACTTTTATCATGCAACACAGACCCAATACTAGCACTTCTGGGTAACAGCAGCAAAAACTGTTTTAACATGTTGTTTCTACCCTGCAGCTCTTCCCAGAGGTGCTTCTGGTTTTGCTTTGGGATTCTGCTTATCAAAGCTACTCTCAGTTTTGGGACTATTCTTCTGCTTCCCCATCAGGATGTGTTATAGGTCTGCTAGGAGAACATGTGCATAGCTGTGCCAGTCTTGCTGTTTTAGCTGTCCCTCACAGGGTGTATGATATGGGTGTATGAAACTAAAGACAGTTGGCAAAACAGATAAATGAGCAATATCAAGACTTTGTGCTTAGTGAGATGCCAGAGACCTGTCTCTGCTGGAGCACTTGCTGATAAGACAAGTGGGACACTGTGATAAACCAGCAGGTGGATTTTTCCCATACCATCATGGCCCCTCTCCTCAGTGACACAAAGTGACAGGCTGAGCAAGGTTACTTCATAGCATGCCACTGTTGGGGCACTGCCTGCTATGAGTGCAAGTCTAACTCCTGTTGCTGAACTAATAGATACGTGGCACCACAGACACCCACAGTGTGGTGCGATTCTCCCCAACCTCACTGCCTTCCAGCTCCCTCCTGTGAATCGAGCTTGTCTTTGAGATTCATGGTGACTTCTGTCTCCACTCACTTCTCCTGCCCTATATTTCTCTTCCTTCCCATCTGTGTGCTCTGCTGAGGAGGCTTGTGCAGCAGCTAGGTGGTGTGCCTGGATGTGCAGCACCACGCATCCTGCCTCACCACTCCCAGTCCTTCATGCCCATCTGCACTGGAGAGCATGCTAAACCTGTGGCAGTTTGCTCAGGTGCCTGGGAGCCAGCATGTGCCCAGTTGCCTCGCTGCCTGCTTTCATTTGCCTACTTCCCTGCTGCTATTTTCTGGTTCTTTTTTGGTAAAGCAGGGAAAGCAAAAAGCTGTGATCAGAGAGCATGGTGAGCAGCAAGAATGAGAGGGGTGAGCACACGGTAGGGTCTGCTGGGGACTCGGCAGGGGACTGGAGCAAGGAGGGAGTGCAGCAGGCTTGCTGCCTGGGCATGTCTGGAAGGGGTGGTGACAGCAACCTTGGTGCCCTGGTACCACAGTTCACAGCAGCAGGGCAGTGCTCTAAGCTCATCCAGAAACATGGAGCTGAGCTGCCTGGGACATGGCTGCAGGACTGTCTTTCTGGCAAGTTAGCCAGGGCATGCAGTACAGGGCTTGTGCTGATTTCAGAAGGTGCTTAGCCAATACCTGCTTTAGTGTACAAGCATATAGCATGGGCAGGAGACATCTGATCCAGCCTGAAATCTGCCAGTGTGAATTTAATCTGCAAAAATAGGTTATGTGTGGATTTGGACCAGCATAATTTGTATGTAGTACATCAGCCTTTTGCTAAATAGGATGTTAGGATTTTGATAAAAATTTGGTAACCCTATAGCCAGATTGTTGTATGTTTAGACCAAAGGCATGCAGCTTCTGGTATGCATCACCCCCTTTAGCACCAAGCACATATCTGGGTGGGGAAGGAAAGTGTATTTGTTCTGAAATGTGTTGGTCTGATCTCCATGACCATCTCCAGAGCTGCTCTAAGTGGCTGCCCCCTCCAAAGAAAGCCCCTTGTGAGAGCTGCCACAAGTGACTGGAGAAGGAGCTGATCCCTGACTCTCTCTGATGCTGCTGGGTTGCCACTGTTTGTACAAATGGGAGCAACTGTGTGAGCCCGTCACCAAACGGGAGCTGCCTTCAGGAGGAGGTGAGTGCATGGCAGGGCCTGTGCTTCCTGAGCAGAAGTCAGGGATCCCGTGAAGACTGGACTGAAAACTGGAGTTGGCAGTAATGGTTTAATTGTGCTGGAACTGAAGCAGCATTGCCTAGAAGTTGCCTGCTTTTTACAGAAGATGATTACCAAAGTCTGTTGCCGGCCTGGCATAACAAAGTAAGCTGTTGCTGAGGTCTGGCTTGCCTGCACAAAGATGTGAGCAGGTGCTATGTGCAGTGCTTCCTCAGCTGCTGCCTGCCCTGCCTGCTTGCAGGGCTACCCCACGCACTGCCCCACAGAGGGGCCATGGGGAGGTTTTGTTGCAAGCAGCTGATGCTCTCATGCTTTCATCTGTTACAGGTATTGATGTTAAGTCTGCTGGGCAGTCCCAGGGAGATGGTGGCCATGGAGGCACTGGGGACGTTCGGAGACATCAGAGGGGACATGCAGAACACCGAAGACACACTATCGCCAATGGTGTGGATTTTAGCATGGTAAGAAAACAGCCTTGTCCTGGGCTGCAGTCAAGGGGCCTGCCCCTGCAGGATTTCTGTTATAAAGCTGTATTGATGTACATTGTGGTCTTGCAGTTACTTCCAAGGTGTTTTCTGTCCTGAAATGTGCAAGAGAAAGAGAAGTTATGGTTTCCCCTGTGTCCCATGGAGCAATGTCAGCCTATGGAGTTGGCACCTGTGCAGTCAAACACTGTCTTCATGGGCAAAAACTTGGGTAGAGAAAGGCAACAATTTACCTTATGGTACAGGAGAAGGCCCCAGTGCTGCAGTCATCTGAGAAGATTGGTCTCTGGGCTTTTCAAGCATGCCTTGCGCAGAGCCTCAGTGCTGTGTCCTCTGCTAGCTGTTCTTTGTAGGTCAGGTCTCAAGCATGCTGATCCTTGTGGCTCCCAAGAGATTTTTGCTATTAATGCAGAGAAATCTAAACTGAATTTGCCTGGGAAGCCCAGTATCAAGGGATCTGCTCCCCTCTCTGTCCCTGAATGGAGAGGTTTGGATCAGCTTGCCCAAACCAAGGGATCCGCACTGCTCCCAAGTGGAATAGCGAAGCTGCCTGGGCATGTTGCCCACAAGCTCAAGCCAAGACCTTGCCTGCAGGATGAGTGATCATCTGGTCTTTCTTGCTTTGTCTTGTGGCATGAGGGCTGCAGGCAAGGCCGTGACTCTCACATCTGCAATTCCACTTTTGGCACCCTGGTGTCACCAGCTCCCTGATCTGAGCAGGGCCAGCAGGCTGCATGCATGTCCTTGTGCAGCATTGATTACAGCATTGCACTGACCTTGGGCAACATAACATGCTCTGATTCCCGGCCTGGCCAGTCTGGGGAGGGTGCAGTTTATGTACGCATGGGAAAAGATTTGTTGGGCTTACAGCAATGCAAGGGGCTGGGTCTTCCTCTCTCAGACCGAGGGGGTCTCTGCTGAGAGGTGCTGACATGGAGCAATAAATGTGGATGTGTTTGCCTGGGATTAGGGGTCCCTCTGGTCCTCAGGTTTCTGGTGGTTGGACATTGCTGCTTTGACAGGGTATGCCCCCTTCCTCCCTTAGCAGGGCTCTCACATGTGCACATGGCTCCACGGTGGAGTGCAGCAGAGGTGTCATCACTGCCGTGAGTGTGAAGTCCTGCCTGGTGCTGATGAGGAAGGGGATGGTGGCCAGGGTGTCTTGCTGAAGGCTGGTGTTTGTTCCCAGCACTGCCACAAGTGCTGTTGCTTTTAGCGTTGCCATTGCCTTTGTTTCCCCATGGTGCATAGTTGTGTGGGAGGTGGGATGCAGGTGCTCTACCTTTCTTCCATCCATCCATCTCTAGTGTATCTGAGTGCTGCTCTGCCTTTACATGTTCCTCCTCCCAGAGATAGGATGCCTCCACTTGTACTGTGGGGGTTGAGAAGTCTTCCCAAGCACCAGGGCAGAAGTATTTGGTACCAATTCCACTTCTGAGTATGCAGAGACAGTTGGAACAGGTTTGAATCCAGCAAGAATTGAATCTGCATGCAGGGTGGAGATCTTGCCTGGCTACCCTTCCTCCCTGATGAAGGGAGGATATCTGGCAAGACAAGGCACACAGCTGTGATTAGGCTAATCTGCCTAAAACCGGGGGTGGGGGGACGCACTGTTGTCCATCGTGTGTCCTATAGGCGCACTAGGACCTGTTCATCCTCCTCAGCAAAGCAGACGAGTGGGGCCTGTGCTGCAGCCCCAGGACCCTTTATGATAGACAGCTGGTGACTCCTCAGATGTTCGGTGGGTTTTGTTGTTGTTTTATTTTCAATGTGTCCATTGATTGATCCAATTTCCCCATGTCCTTGGCATAGCTGGAATGAGACCTGTGAGAGGCCAAGCACTTTTGTTTGCAGGCAGCCCAGAGAAGAAGCACTCTCCCCTCCCCTTCTACCACAGGCAGTGACCAACCAAGATGTGCTGTGCCCATTCACAGAATTTCTGGGTTGGAAGAGACCTCAAGATCATCAAGTCCAACCTCTGACCTAACGCTAACAGTCCCCACTAAACCATATCCCTAAGCTCTACATCTAAACGTCTTTTAAAGACTTCCAGGGATGGTGACTCCACCACTTCCCTGGGCAGCCCATTCCAATGCCTCACAACCCTCTCGGTAAAGAAGTTCTTCCTAACATCCAACCTAAAACTCCCCTGGCGCAACTTAAGCCCATTCCCCCTTGTCCTGTCACCAGGCATGTGGGAGAACAGACCAACCCCCACCTTGCTACAGCCTCCTTTAAGGTATCTGTAAAGAGCAATAAGGTCACCCCTGAGCCTCCTTTTCTCCAGGCTGAACAAGCCCAGCTCCTTCAGCCGCTCCTCGTAAGACTTGTTCTCCAGGCCCCTCACCAGCTTCATCGCCCTTCTCTGGACCCGCTCGAGCACCTCCATGTCCTTCTTGTAGCGAGGGGCCCAAAACTGAACACAGTACTCGAGGTGCGGCCTCACCAGAGCCAAGTACAGGGGGACAATCACCTCCCTAGCCCTGCTGGTCACACTGCTTCTGATACAAGCCAGGATGCCGTTGGCCTTCTTGGCCACCTGAGCACACTGCTGGCTCATATTCAGCCGACTATCCACCATCACTCCCAGGTCCTTCTCTGCCTGGCAGCTCTCCAACCACTCATCTCCCAGCCTGCTTGGGGTTATTGCGCCCCAGGTGCAGGACCCGGCACTTGGCCTTGTTGAACTTCATGCAGTTGACCTCAGCCCATTGGTGCAGCCTATCCAGATCCTCCTGCAGAGCCTTCCTACCCTCGAGCAGATCGACACACGCGCATAGCTTGGTGTCATCTGCAAACTTACTGAGGGTGCACTCAATGCCCTCATCCAGATCATCGATGAAGATATTAAAGAGGACCGGCCCCAGCACTGAGCCCTGGGGAACACCACTAGTGACTGGCCTCCAACTGGACTTGACTCCATTTACCACGACTCTTTGGGCCCGGCTATCCAGCCAGTTTCTAACCCAACAAAGCGTGCGCCAGTCCAAGTCAAGAGCAGCCAGTTTCTTGAGGAGAATGCTGTGGGAAATGGTGTCAAAAGCCTTGCTGAAGTCAAGGTAGACCACATCCACAGCCTTTCCCTCGTCCACCCAGCGCGTCACTTTGTCATAGAAGGAGATCAGGTTTGTCAAGGAGGACCTGCCTTTCATAAACCCATGTTGACTGGGCCTGATTGCCTGCTTGCCCTGCAAGTGCTGCGTGATGACTCTCAAGAGGATCTGCTCCATGAGCTTCCCTGGCACTGAGGTCAAACTGACCGGCCTGTAGTTTCCCGGGTCTGCCCTCCGGCCCTTCTTGTAGATGGGCGTCACGTTTGCTAGCCACCAGTCAACTTCCACCTCCCCATTCTCCTGTCCGAGAAGCTGCTCTGCCCCTAGCTGTATCCTGTCCTCTGCCCCTAGATTGATTCCATCTGTCCCTGCACCTGACAGAACTGCTGGTATCCCACTGCTCTGTGGGATGCTGCCTCTTCCTCCAGTTCCCATGCTGACCAGCAAGCCCAGTGGGACCAGGTTGGGATAGGCAGTCACACGCTGCAGCCAGAACTGGATGGGGGTCCTTGCCACATACAGAACCTTCTTCATGCCCCTCAGCAATACTCTGTGTAGTACCAGGGCTCTGTGGTTCTTCGTGTGGGTACGTCCCCTTCTCTCTGTTTGTCCATATGAGCATGTGTGTGTGAGTGGCTGCTGTATTGTAAACAGCACGTCCAGAAGCAGAGGGAGCAAGAATAACCCTGGCATAAGGGGTGGCTGGCACGTGACAATTGTGAGACTTAGGGAGTAGAGGTGGGGACAGAGCAGTGCTGGCAGCCTGAAGAAGCTGTTGGTACAGTCTAACCTGTTTGCTGGAGGCAGTCAATGTTTAGGGTCACTTCTGAGCTGAATTGTTCCCGTCCAGATGTTCTCCAAAACAGACGAAGAGGTTCCTGAGTGTCCAGCAGTTTCTAGGCTTGCCTGCTTGTGTGATCAGAGTGCTTATGCTGGATAGAGAGCTGTCTGCCCTCCACAGTGAAGACTCTCCTGGTGCTCAGGCTGTGCCACAGGCTGTGGAGGTCAGGCAACATCACGGCAGAGAAGGCAGGCAGCCATTTGCTTTGGGGAGTGCTGGGAAATCCAGCCCAGTGCTCTCGACGTGGAGGAAGGCCTTTCTGCCTTGGAGCAGCCACAAGGGTGGCTCAGGAGGGCTGTGAACTGGGGGAGCAGGCTCACTCCTGCTTGGAGAAGGGGACAGGAGTTGGACTCAATGATCCTTATGGGTCCCTTCCAACTTGGGATATTCTATGATTCTATGACAGGGAAGAGTGAAGGCTGATGAATTGTGCTGTGGTCATTCTGTTCTTCTGGGAACAGACCCTCCTCTTCTTGACACCTCCGTGATTTCCTCGTGGCAGTGCAGAGCCAAGGGGCCTTGGGAGAAGGGTGGCAGCAGAGCAGGGAGGCCCCTTGTCAGCTGGGCACAGGCAGCTAGGTGCTGCTGCTGTCTGCTGTTGATGGAGGGCCCAAGCTGCGTGTGCTGCAGCAGGTTGTGGCTGGCAGGGCCCTGTTCTGCTTGTCCCAAAGGGGTGGGGGCAAAAGCCCTGGGTGCTCTGTTAGCAGCCCTCCAGACATGTGAATATATCATGTCCCTCTCCATATGACTTGAGCTTGAGCCTGAAAGACTAAGCAGACACAGTCAGCAAAGGAGAAAGCAGAGAGCTGGGTAAACAGGACTGTAGATTTTGCCTGGGGTTCTGGTCTCTAGATAGCTTGGCTGCTCTCTGAAAGCCAGGTGAACTTGTGCTACTGATTGAAGCTTGCAGCCTCAAGAGGATTTGGACAGTGGGTGCTGGCCCTGTTCTTAGCTCATCCTTGGATAAATGACAAAGCAGAGAAACATGCTTCTTCACTAAGAGCTGGTGGGTTCCCTAGACAGGAGGATGGAGGCAACCTGACTGCCCTTCAGCTGCTGCAATTGTTCTCCCAAACTGGAGAATTCTTACTCCAAATCAGGATCAGCCAGTGGCTATCATCCAAATTCTCTGCAGCTTTTCATGGGGAAAAGAACTGACACAGCTGCTGGTAACCAAATTCCTCTGTGTCTCATGAAGAAACCAGCTCCTTGGGCTTGACAAGACTAGGCTAGAGGAAATTGCTTGAACTTTGGATTAAGTTGATCTGTAGATGCCTTCACTTGGGATCTAATGGGGCAGTGGTTCTCTGAACATTTGACTTGGACCTGAATGAGGAGAGGATAACACATCTGTGCACTGTCCTGCAGCTGAAGTATATGAAGGAGCTGGAGCAGGAGAAAGATTTCTTGCTTCAGGGTCTGGAGATGGTTGAACGTGCCCGTGAATGGTACCACCAGCACATCCACTTCATGCAAGAACGCCAGAGACTCCTGGGAAAAAACAAAACCAGTACTGTGAGTCTAGGGCTTGTTCTGGGGATTCCCATCTGCTTGGGAGGGCCCGTGGGATGTGAGAACTGGGCTGGGATGTTTTGGTGCACCCAGTAGTGGCCTGACTCTGCTGCCTCTGCTTGTTGCGTGTGCCCTCACTGTTTGACTGAGGATCCCAGAGGGGCTGGGGACACTGTACCAACCCTCGCTTGGCAGAAGAGAAGAAGCATGGCAGCAAGTAAGGAGGGTATGAGCAAGCCCCTCCACGTGCCTGGAGTGGAGCTGTGGGGTTGCTGCCTGAATGGGATCAGGCCTGGCCTCTCACCATGGTGGATTTCCCAGGTAAAATTGCCCAATGCAGAGAGGCCGACCCTTCCTCACCAACTGGGACATTCTGCTGCCCACCTGCCAGCCACAGGGCTCTTCCTTGGGCCAGCCCACCTGGAGGAGCCCTAGGGCAGCACAGGAAGGGTCTTCCCTTGTGTGGGCACGCATGCCCTTGGCACAGCTTGCACACCCCCCTCACCTCCTGCCAGGCTGCATGCAGGTTCAGGATCAGAGCATGACAGAGCAGCCACAACCTCAGCCCTTGTGCTGTCTGTGCCATAATGCCAGGCTTGAGGCTGGTGTCTTGCCTTGTTAACATGGGTATGTCCCATGGCCTGTGCAAGCTCCATGCTACAAAGGTGCAGGGCCAGCTGAGACATGGAAGCAGGTGGGTGCCCCAGCTCTGGGAGGTGTTTGGAGGGGGCTGAAGGCCAGCCAGCCACCAAGCCCTCTCTGCAGGGCAGAATGACTCCCTAGAAGCTGACCACAAAATAATGCCTGGACTCTTCTGTCCCATCCCCCAGGACTTCTTCCCTGATGGCAACCAGAGCCACCTGGGCCACCTGCTTCCCAAGCTGCAGGAGGTGAACCGCTGCCTGGGTGACCTCCTCTCTGCCATGGGCAAGGTGAGAGAGCAGGATATTAGCAGCTTGCCATCACTTGTGTGAGCTAGGTGCCTGCCCTTTCTGCCCTCACACTGACAGCTGGGCTGTCATTGGAGCTGTCAGTTTCCCCAGGCTCTAGGGGCCAACTTGACTCTGTTGGCAAGACAAGGATGGCAGACAACCAAGAAGATAGTGCAGCTAGTCCTGGGCTAGGATGGAGGATTCTCAAGGTATTTGAAGGAATAAATGAGGTCCCCAGAAAGGTGTAGACCTTGTCATGTGAACAAGGAAAGCATCCTGCTGAGGTGCTCAACCAGTCCTCTTAGAACTGGCTGTCCTGGATGCCAGGTCACATGGCTCCTGGCAGGAGCAGGACATACTGGCACGAATGATTCCACTTTAGTCTAGAAAAGCCTTGGTGGAGACCCTGTGATGGCCTGTGCTGACTGTACTGGTGGGGTCTTAATCCTGTGTAGGACTGTGTAGGGCTCAGCTCCCAGTCTATTAGTTCCCCATGGGTCACAGAAACAGCTTTTATCTTGGGACACAGGCTGGGGAGGGCCACCAGGAAGAGAGTTCAATGTCTCAGCCCTTCCCTTCATCTTCTCCACAGCCAGGGAACCCTTCCTCGACTCTGAGCAGGCTGGCCCCCACGGCCCCCGTGGTGTCCCCAGCCTCAGCGGGTTCCCAGCAAGCCATCAATATGCTGAAAGAGCAAAACCGACTTCTCACCAAGGTGAGTGGGGATGATGGAGAGGAGATACACTTACAGAGAAGGCTGGGAGGGAGCCATTGTGGAAAAAGTATGTGACAGTTAGAAAGTGTTCCTTCAACCTGGCCAACCTTGGTCATCCTGGAGAAGGGCTATGGGCTACACCTGGAGCCTTTCCATGTCCTGCAACTGGGTACTCCTCCTGTTGAGGGGCATGTATCCAGCTATTTACTAGGTGAGGGACCATGGACATGGACCTCATTTTCCCTGCCAAAGGGAAAAGACCATGACAAACAAAGGCCACAAGAGGGTGCAGATGCTGCATCTTGGGTCTGCAAACAGTGTTTCTGGGAAGCAGACACCAAAGATACCCTGCTAGGGCCACACTCAACACAGGAATTCGCATCCTGGCACATTTTGGGCTGTGGGGGGGCTTAGAACAGCTGAGCCTAGCCCGGCTCACAGATGCCTCAGGCACAGCAGAGCTCTGATCAGCATTTTCCTCCTCTGTCCTGTGCAGGAGGTGACCGACAAGTGTGAACGCATCACCCAGCTGGAGCAGGAGAAATCTGCTCTGATCAAGCAGCTCTTTGAGGCTCGTGCCCACAGCAACCATGAAACAAGCCAGCTGGACTCCACCTTCATCTAGTGCCTGTCCCCCAGTACTCTTCCTGGCCCCGCACTTGAGCTTCCCCAGAGGGGTTTGTGGGGCTGGGACTCTTGCCCTAAAACCATTACATTCATTGCTCCAGGTGTGGAGCTCTCAAGAGCTGTGGAGGTCTAGAACTGCCCGTGGCCTCCCTGTGGGAGTAAGCTGGGGACAGCACTTCCCCAACCCTGCTTGGGCAGGCCTGGGGAGTCTACCCTCCCTGCTGTGCTTGGCCAGCAGCACTGCTTGCAAGCCACTCCTTTTCTAAAACTGACTGCAGTGACTACTCCCCCATCCCGTGATCCCCAGTGTGTTGGGGGAAACAAACGCTACCTGTGCTGTGTGCACGGGGAGAGGTGGGGGGAGAGCTGCTGTACTCTTGGCCTGACTTAGGCTGAATTCTGGCTGCTCTTAGAAAAAGATGATGCATCTTGAACACTCCATCTTGAACATTTCCAGGCAAGCCTGGTCATTGAAAGGTACCCTGTCTGTTGCTTGTTCCTCTGTCAGGGGACAAGATTAAAAATCAGTAATGGGGCATACCTAGCTCCTCCCTGCTGTCTGTTGGTGGAACCAGACTGGGCTAGAGCAGTGCCTGAGCTGGTGCTCCTCCTAGGGCAATCTCTTTCTTCAGTTTGATGTAGTGATGCCATAGTTGCTGTTTATATGTCTGCAGGCTCCTATAGTTAATGAGCCATAGACCCAAATGAGGTAACCATGTACCTCTGAGCTGCTGTTTCAGGCTGTTTGCAGATTGAGGCAGATACCTCTATGTCACTTTATTTTGTTTGACCTGGTAAGCATTTGCTTATAAGCCTGTCAGTCATATTTTTTCATGATGACTTTAGAAGGACAATAACAGAAGCCTGATTTCACATTGGGGCTTTAGGACTTGGTTTCTTGAAACTGAATGTGGGTGATGAAGAGGAAGCTGCTAGGCTCTTTCTTTGTACATCTCCAAGTGGAGAAATGGGAGCTTTGGGTGACCTGGTAGTATATGCAAGCTACCTGGGGTGACGTCCTGGGTGTGAACTGAATCCTTCTCCAGCTCTATGGGGTGGTGGTCATGTTAGACTGGTGTGTCTCAGGACACCTCCTCCTTCCCACCCAGCTCAATGATGAGGCTTGAGCTGTGGCTTGGTACTTGGTACTTATGGTACATTCATAGGAGATCCATAGGAATTCCCATGTATCACAGTCCTAGTCCTTTGTAGCTCCAGGACCTTTCTCTTCAGCATTGTTTGTGCTTGGACTCTACTGGCACAATGCACTGAGCTGGGCAAAAGGTTCTGGACCTGCCCTGCTTTAACAGGTTTAGCTCTGTTGGACTGGGAACTGTAAAAACCAGTTCCTCTCCCACTCCTGGGAAGATGTTTCTACCAGTCCAGTGCTGTCTGTCCTACCCAGCTCCTCTCTGAGCTTCATCTCGACCTGAAGCTCACTGCAGGGCATTTGGTCATAGTTCTTCCTTTGTGCCTACTGCCCCCTGCCAGAGTGGGGATCAGCAGAGTGTCGGGGAAAGGAAGAAGGAGCAAGGCCATGGCAAGTCATGTCCTGTATCTGTAGGAGTATGGTGTTAGTTATCCCCTGGGCATCGGTGCCTGCCGTCTCTTTGATGTCTCCTCTGGTGCCCAGTCCCTGTTTTGCCTGAGGCTGAAGGAAAAGTGTCTCTCTTCATAATCTGTCTTTAGGAATAATAAAGTGGGGTGAACTGCTTAGTTTATCCTTCTGTTTCTCTGACTAAATCAGTCCATTTGTTGCTGCAAGCCTTGCAGTTCCTGACTGTCCTGTCCTAAGGGATTGTGGGTGAGCTGAGGTTGCACAACCGCAACCTGACCATGAGGAGTACAGTGGGTCTCTGCTCCAGGTTGGGTTCCCATGCTCTTTCCCTTCCCCTCTGGGCATCCCTATGCTCTTGGGCTGGGGACGCTGCCAGTCTTCCCTTGCTACTGTTGGATGGGATCATGAAATCCCCATGCACCCCCCTCAGACTTTAATGTTATTATTTCTTCTCAAGCAATGCTCCAATATAACCACCTCCAATGACTGTGGACAGCTATGGCCGCAATGACTGATGCCAGCTCTGCAGTTGTCTTCCTGCACAGAGAGCCTGAGAGGAACTCTCTGGCAGGGTACATCATGGTGCACATCCCTCTGCCTTGCACCAAAGATGGCTGCACCTGTGCCAGGTGAAGCTCAGGGCCCTGCACTGGCAGGAGGCACCTTCCTTTGACATTATGCAGAGCCATGACCTGGGGAGAACTGGAACCCTTGCTGCACGCTACAGAAACCAACCTGCAGCACTGTGCTCTGCAGGCGAGCTGTCCAAGCCTCTGCGTTCCCAGTATGGGAGCAGAGCCATGGAAGGAAGACCTGCGCCAAGCCTCCTATGCCTGGGAGAAGAATCATTGCAGCAGCCTCTTTCAAGTGGTGATTAGGGTAGCCACAGTTCCCAGACAGGGCAAGGAGGGGGTGATAATTACCCTCAGTTCCCCTGTTTAATATCTTTCCTAGGATGTGAAGTCCCAGGCATATTTCAAAGAAAAGAGAGGATCATTGTCCCTGCTCAATGCCACTCTGTGTGGAGCCAGGGCAGCTCTGCCACTGCCCTTGTTCTGGGGCCTGCCCAGCTGGAGGGGAACAGCCTCTCCGCAGCCTGGGCAGTGCTGGCTCTGGACCCGTTCCATGCAGGGAAGCTCTGGGATCTGGGAGCCCCCTGCCAAGACTCCCTGAGGGCTGGGAGTCACAGTCCCTGGCCTGGAGCTGCAAGACCTGGCCTGGCTACACTGCTTCTGGGTCCGTGGGGGGGCGATCTGGCCTGTGCCTGACCCTCACCTGTGTGCCTAGGCTATGTCACCTTCCATCCCCTTAGCCATGAGCAGCTCAGTGGTGGTCCAGTGGCTGAGACCTGGGTTTGTGCCTAGGGCTGTTAGCAGGGTGCTGGTGAAGTGGGTGAACGTCTTCCCTTCTCTTTGGGCTCTGATCTCGCTGGGTATGCACAAATCTGTGAAAGCACATCCAGGTGTGATGATCACATCTGGAAACTTGTGCACAGTTGCAGCACAGCAGGAACCATCACAGCAGGTCTGGTCTGTGCCCAGCCAAACCACCTAAACTCAACCCCCTGACACGTGAGGTTGTCAAAAGCAAGGTGCAACACCATATAGTCACCACTCAAGTCTTCATTTATTATCACAGGCTCAGGAGCTGCTGGTCCCAGGGTGAAACTGAACAGGGGCAGCTGGCGCTGGGAGAGGACTGTCCACAGGGGTGTGGGCAGGGTGTGCTTGGCACTGGCCAACCAAGAAGTCTTGTCTGGTCCCCAACCTGCCCCAGGGGATCCGTTGATCTCATCTACTGTGTCCTCAGCCATGCTCTTTGGGAAGGGTTCAATTGCCCAGGTCTATTTGTAGGTTCTTTCTCTTCTGCCTAGTTCCATGCCCTTCTCACGCCCTTTAGGGCTGGGCTGCGTGCCCAGCTACCCCCCTTAAAGAAGGGCTGCTCTCCCAGCAGAGCAATTATTCCGAATGCCAGCAGGAACAGCCGCATCTTGGGCCCCCAGCCGGTACGTATTGTGCTTTTGCTTTTCTTTCCTGCTACACAGGAACTGTTCTTTGTCCAACAGGATTCCTTGCTGCCCTGGGCAGTTTTCAGCAGCTCCAGCACTGACAGGTGCACTGTCAGACTGCCCCTGTTTTGCACCCACTGTCCTGCTCTTTCCATTGCAAATCACCGGGAGATGAACCAACAGCCTAAGGACCTGGGGAGCACCCTGGGTCCTGGGGCAGTCAGTCGTCTCCAGGAAGGGGAGCTGGGCTGCAAAGGGCATATGCAGCTACCGCTGCCTGTGTTTGTTCCCTCAGTTCAGGGGCTGGTTGGTGCCTGGCAGTTCTCAGCCCTGTGACCTGGCACCCAGTACCTCTTGTTCACCTCCTTGATCTCTCATTACAAGGTACTTTCTCCTGTCCCAAATCACCTCTATGCCTTATTACCATGCAGCCCGGCCTGAATCCCAGCCTCCAGCTTGCCAGCACTTTTCTTCTTTTGGCAGACGTACAACTGCTTCCTGCATTAGCAGCATTGACACATGTATGCTTAGTGCTCCCCTTTCCTCCTCCCTGGCTGAGACCATAGTCACAGTGTGGGCTCTCAGTTGATACGGACCAGCTCTGCCCTCACCTCTGCTTGTGTAAATCATTGTAATAGAGAGCAGGAGTAATGGTGGGTGAGCTGGGACCTCTGCTGCCACATCCTAGCTCATTCCTGGGGGAATGCTGGTGCCTTGGCTGTGCCGGCTGCCCATCACCAGGGGATCAAGCACAGCAGTTCCAGCTCCATTCCAGCATCCTGCCAGATCCGATGTCTCCCTGCAGTATGACTCCAGCCTGGCACGTGTGATCACTGCTGTTTGTGCAACTGAACCTCTTCCAAGGTACAGATTATTAAAGCCAGATGCTCTCTCCCTAGGGAATCCTGGCACAATGGGGAGGGGGTGGAGGTGGGGCTCCCAAAATTCCTGCTTTGCTCTGCAGCTGTATGCCGTGGGGACTGTGACTTTGCTCTCCCCATTACATAAAGCACAGCTGCCGTGGCGGATAGCCACCCTGCTTGCTCGCTCTTGGAGCAGCAAACTGTTGGGGAGCAGTCTGGAGCTGGCTGCTGCCGTGAGGTGCAGGCAGACCAGAAGCTGGGTTCCCGAGCAGCACCCCAGGGCACTCATTGTGTGAGTGCCCCTAGACCCTATAAGCATCTTCTTGCAGCCCCCTCCCCCAAGTATGGCAGTTCAGTGCCTGTGGCATTCACAGGTGACTATGGGTTCTCCTCCACCCCCTGCCATTGGGACAGTTCTGGTCACCCTTTGCAAGAGATGGTGCCATGCCAAGCAGGGCTGTGCTTTGGGAAGGGGTAGGCAGCTGAACTGGAAGAGGTGGGAGTTCTGGCAGTGAGCCCGTGCTAGGCTACAGCCATGTTCCAGGTAGAGATCAGCACTCACACACTTGGTTACATCATTTGACTGCCCTGCCTCAGTTTCCCCAGCTGTAAAAGACTAGGCATGTGGACCAGCTGTGTCAGCACAGCAGGAAGCCTGGGCTGCTTTGTGCCTGCACAATTTCAACAGCTGAGCATTTTTTCTTCTATCTTTTACTGTGCACTCTCCATACCTCAAGACATCAGAGGGGTATGTTGGGGCCAAACTGCCTTGCAATAACTGAGGCCTGGAAGTGATGCAGCTTGCCCTGGAGCTTTCCCATCCTGCCAAAGCCTGGTCCCATGCTCCCAGAGAGGGAAAGATGGGCCAGTGAGGACATGAGGATTCCTGTGTGCCCAGGGGCCAGAGCTGGGAGCAGCGAGCCCTGCTGCCCCAGATCCTCCTTGGGCATGTGTTTCTGTGTGCCCTCCAGTGCACCCCTGCAAAGGGCTGAGACAAACCATCTGTCCCCTGCGATGGGCAGCCAGCAACACCCCATCCTCAGCCAGGTCCATGCAGGCAGGTACTTCTGGTTTCTTTTGGCTGCTGAAGATGGTCTCCTGCCCATGGAGGAGGACTGTGGGGTGTCCACAAGCCTGAGAAACATCCACAGGCATGGCGTTGGCCAGCTCCTTGCCAGTGAGGACAGAGCTGCAATGGAGAGGCTGGTGCCTGCCAGGCCCTACCTAGGTAGGGGAGGTGCTGCTCAGCCATGGCCTGAGGGTGGAGTTCACAACAGGCACAGATCTGCTCCATCTTAGCCCTGGGCCCTTCCGCACCACCAGACTGCAGCTCTGCCATCCTGGCAGACAGCTGGCATCAGGGCTAAAGTCATGGCTTAGAAATGCAAGCAATTCTGCCATGGAGGAGACCAAGGGAAACAAGAACCCAGCCACCCTGTACCAAGGCCACACAGTAGCTGCATGGGCTGATTTTCACCCTCATGCCACTACACATCCACATGGCAAAAAGCTTTTTTTCTTTTTTTTTTTTTTTTTTTTAACTTACTGCTCTGTCCCCAGGAGTACTGCAGATGTGGGATGGCTGAGGAGCTGGGGGTGAGTTGTGTTACAAGCAGGCCTTTAGGCTTGTGCTGTGCTTTCTACAATGGCACAGAGCAGGTCCCAGATTGCAACTGCTTTTTCCATTCCCACTGACTGAGGCTGAATTTGGGCTGTGGCTGGCAATGAATGTGGTGCTGGTCAAACTGGAAAAGAAATATGCTTTTTACTATTACTGACTAAACAAACCAACCCCAAAGACATTGCCTCATTCACCAAAATTTCATTTAGTTCTAAGTCAAAATACTTTGTATTGTTTCGAGTTCTCTTGGGGCTTTTTAAACATGCTCTCATTTTTCCTTCTGTATTTAGGACCAGTTCAAATGGAAAGACCATTTCTAAGTTACCTATGCAGAAATGACCCATCCTGGTACTTCTGGCATGATCTCTTCTATGCAGAAATCATCAACTTCTTTGGGATGCTTCCAAAACCTTAAATAGATCTTAATATCTTCCAAAACCTCCATCAGTCCTTAGGCTAAGACACTCTGCAGGGCAGACCAGGTCCCAGAGGCAGTCTGGACATCCCTCCACACCTGGCTGGGGAGCTGCACCACGGCTGGGGCTCAGCAATGAGCACATCCCCAGCTTCCCAGCACCAGCAAGAGATGTACCCAGACCAGCTTAGAGAGAGCTCAGCTGGACTGGCCATGAGGATAATAACTGAATAATCTAATGATTTCATCATTAAATATTTAATGTTGATGGCT